TCCGTAGATCGATCTTGTTTGTCTTGCCTTGCCCTCCAGTATATCCTGCAGGTCTGGCGCATTTTCCCGTGCCTTGGTATTTTTTGAGCGGCCGCGGGTGCGGCTTGAGTGGAGGGCCGAGAGGCCTCTCTGTCGCGGCCACGAAGTGGCCGGTCAGCCGTATCATGCACTAGTGATGTAGGTTTAGGTGCTTCCTCCTCTAATCGGGGTAGCAGCCTGCGTTTTGGGTAGCTCTTGGAGGGGCGTTCAAGTTCGCACTCTTCGGCCGCAAGGACTTCAGTCCATCTGTCAGCTAGAAAATCTTGATCAGCTCTAAGTTGTTGCTGCTTTTTCTTGAGGCTGCTTGCGGTGACCCTAAGCCTGCGTTTGAAACGCTCCTGTTCGACGGGATCCTCAGGCACGACAAATTCGCCGTCGTCGAGGCTTGCCTCGTCTTCGGAGGGAGGCATGTAATTATCGTCCTCTACCTCTCTATCTGCTGCTCTCTCATGAGGGCTGGCTTCTCCATCCTCCTTTGCTAAATCTTGCTGGAGGGGGTTGTCTTCGGCACTTTCTGGGGTGTTATTGTCTCCCGTGCCGGAATCACCGTTTTTGCTATGGCGGGATTTAGAGCGGCGCCGCTGACGCCGGCGCTTAGGTTATTTCTTGGAGGGGTCATCGTCCATTGTTCCATCGCCGCCCATCTTTTGGGATGTCCACCATGTAGATGTCGTATGACGAGGTGGCCTTCCAGTGCCCTGTAGGCACTGGTTCTTGGTCGTCTCCTGCATCGTCATCCATACCGTCGACGTCTTCGGAGTCGAAGTTGGGCATGTCGGTTAAATCATCGACAGTGGCTACGAAGTGGGTGGTAGGTGGGCTTTGAATTTCTTCGTCGTCCGCATCCCAGCCTTCCTGACCATAGTCCGGCCAGGGCTCTCCTGATAAAGAGAGGGACTTTAGTGAATTTAGGATGTCGCCAAAGGGCGAGTGCTGAAAGATGTCTGCGACGGTGAACTCCATGACCGGCGCCCAATCAGATTCGATTGGCAGGGGCGCGGAAGGTCCGGAGTCCGGAGAGGAGTCCGGTACCTTGGAGTTACGAGCCTTGCAGAGAACAGGGATAGTATTCGGCTCCATCGTCGTAGAGATAGCAGCCCCCGAGGCGGTGTCCAGCCACCCGTCCTCGGTCGGCGCAGTCGGCTCCGAGCTAAGGGTCGGAGCGGACACTTGTGCGGCCTCCAGGGCACTGTCCGGCGGCAAAGCTAGATCGTGCCCATCATGATAGTGCGGCGCGCTCGGCTGTGGCTCGAACCCGTCGAAGATCAAGTCTCCGCGGACGTCAGCCGTATAGTTCAAACTACCAAATCTGACCTGATGGCCAGGAGCGTAGCTTTCAATCTGCTCCAGATGGCCAAGCGAATTGGCCCGCAGTGCAAAGCCGCCGAATACGAAGATCTGTCCGGAGAGAAAAGTCTCACCCTAGACTGCATCGTTGTTGATGATCGAAGGAGCCATCGGGCCTAAAGATGACGACACAGAGGAACTCTCAATGAAAGCACCAATGTCGGTGTCAAAACCGGTGGATCTCGGGTAGGGGGTCTCGAACTGTGTGTCTAGGCGGATGGTAACAGGAGACAAGGGACACGATGTTTTTACCCAAGTTCGGGCCCTCTCGATGGAGGTAAAACCCTACTCCTGCTTGATTAATATTGATGATATGGGTAGTACAAGGGTAGATCTACCACGAGATCAGAGAGGCTAAACCCTAGAAGTTAGCCTATGGTATGATTGTTGTTCGTCCTACGAACTAAAACCCTCCGGTTTATATAGGCACCGAAGAGGGTTAGGGTTACATAGAGTCAGTTACAATGGTAGGAGATCTACCTATCCGTATCGCCAAGCTTGCCTTCCACGCCAAAGAAAGTCCCATCCGGACACGGGACGAAGTCTTCAATCTTGTATCTTCATATTCCAGGAGTTCGGCTATCCGGACACCCCCTAATACAGGACTCCCTCACCGGGTACTGTTTAAGCTTATTTATGAAACAAGAGCAAAAGAGTTCGTAGAAGTTTTTCTTTTTCACTTTCAATTTATCAACTGAATTGCTTGAGGACAAGCAAAGGTTTAAGCTTGGGGGAGTTGATATGTCTCCGTCGTATCTACTTTTCCTAACGCTTTTCCTCTTGTTTTGGACTCTAGTTTGCATGATTTGAATGAAACTAACCTCGGACTGACTCTGTTTTCAGCAGAACTACCATGGTGTTGTTTTTGTGCAGAAATAAAAGTTCTTGGAATGGAACGAAACTTTGCGAGGATTTTTTATATCAATAAAGAGAATTTCTGGAGCCAAGAGGCACCTAAGGAGGGCACCTGGGTGGGCACAGCCCACCAGGTCATGCCTGCCCCCCCCCCCCTGCGCGCCCCGGTGGGTTGTCCCCGCCTGGTGGCCCTGATGACCCTAAAACCAATGCTATAAAATCACATTATCCCAGAAAAATCAGGGAGAAGGAATTATCGCGTTTCACGAGACGGAGCCACCGTCGTCTCCTGTTCATCATTAGGAGGCCACATCTGGAGTCCGTTTGGCGCTCCGGAGAGGGGGATCTTCGACCTTCGTCATCACCAACACATATCCATCGTCTATTCCATGATGTTCCCCACTAGGAGTGAGTAATTCCTTCGTAGGCTCGCTGGTCGGTGAGGAGTTGGATGAGATTCATCATGTAATCGAGTTAGTTTTGTTAGTGCCTGATCCCTAGTATCCACTATGTTATGAGATTGATGTTCCTATGATTGTGCCATGCTTAATGCTTGTCATTTTGGGCTCGGTGCCATGATTTCAGATCTGAACCGTTTATGTTATCACCATTATATGCATGTTCTAGATCCGATCTTGCAAGTTATAGTCACCTACTACGTGTTATGATCCGGCAACCCCGGAGTGACAACAGTCGGGACCACTCCCGGTGATGATCGTAGTTTGAGGAGTTCATGTATTCATCATGTATTAATGCTTTGTTCTGATTCTCTATTAAAAGGAGTCTTTAATATCCCTTAGTTTTCCAATAGGACCCCGCTGCCACGGGAAGATAGGACAAAAGATGTCATGCACGTTCTTTCCATAAGCACGTATGACTATTCACGGAATACAAGCCTACATTATATTTATGAACTGGAGCTAGTGTCGTATCACCCTAGGTTATAACTGTCTCATGATGAATATCATCCAACGAGTCACAGATCCAATGCCTACGGATTTACCTTATATTGTTCTTGCTAAGTTACTACTATTGCTACTACTAACGTTGCCGCTACAAAATCATTGCTATCACTGGTACCGTTACCTTTGCTACTGCTGCTATCATCAAAACTATCATATTACTGTGCTATTAATCATTTTACTGCAGATAATTAATCTTCAGGTGGGGTTGAATTGACAACTCAACTGCTAATACCTTCAAATATTCTTTGGCTCCCCTTGTGTCGAATCTATAAATTTGGGTTGAATAATCTACCCTCGAAAACTGTTGCGATCCCCTATACTTGTGGGTTATCAGAAGCTCGCGCAGGAACCTGCGCGGTTGCGCGGGAAAGGGCTCACGCCAAAAGGACGCCCCCGCGCGCTGCTCAAGCTTGCGCTCGAAGCCGTCTGTGGCAGCATGGTGACAAGACGTGTGAGAGGGGGATGAAAGGACACGTACACATACGTTAATAAAAAATATTTGTGATTAAATTACCTACTACCCTCATCCTGGTTTATAAGTTGTCTATGTATTTTTGTGCTAAATTTTGAATAGAGATTTAACTAATAAAATACGAATACATGTCGCCAAAGATTATATCGTTGGATTCATATTTGGACATAGTTTCCAATTATATAATTTTTATAACATGCATTAACATTTTGTTGGATAAGTTTAATGTCAAAATATGCCACAAAATATAAAGGAAACTAATAGACCAAGACGGAGGTAGTAGTACACGGCCGCTCTCTATGTAGCGAGCCAACTGCCGGCCGGCTTATAGACGATCATTCCCTGCGTGTTCAACTGCTCTATGCGTGTGGTTGCTCGCGGTTGAGGCAGCCGCGGCGCGCTGTGCTCGTGTCCTGCCGCACGTGCATTGCTCTCACATCCCTAGACGATCGTTCCTCCTAGTTTAGAATGCATGCAATTGTTTATTGAGGTGTATGCGAATGATCTGTATAGTCACTTATGTAATTGAATATTTATTTCAGTTATATATGTGTGTGTGTGAGAGAGAGAGAGAGTAGGATTTTCTACAATAGCTTGCCACAGAACTAGTTAAGATTTTCGACGGTGTAAAAGTTCTCAAAAATTCTAAAAAAAATACTGAACCAACACACCTATAATATAACATGATCCAGCGGAGAGATTGAAAAAACATGACTGCACGTGTCCTGGACAAAAAAGAACAAAATTTTTAATATATATTGATCCTACAATGAGCTGAAATGCTTGTTTTTTTTTGTTGAGGACACATAAATGCATATTTTTACAATTACACCGTTGAATCATCTTATTATATTAGAATAAGGCTCTCCTATTTATTTCATACTTTTTATATTACTTTTAAATCGTTAAATGTTTAGCAAGTCTTAACTAGTTTCTATGGCAAGTTACGACAGACACGATTTTACCTATATAGGAGCAAGTACTTTGATCATACGGTTAGGATTGAGCCCCCAAAGTTAGTGCAATGCCGCGAGACAGCGGCAATATTGAAGGACCCGTCACATGCTCGCGCTCTACTCCGCTCCGCTCCCCGCCATGCATCTCCGCAGCGCCCGGGCGCATCGGCCTAGGACCCCCACGTCGACCACCAACAGCCGCGCACTCCCGAATTCACCGATTGAGATCCAGAGAAGCACGGCCGCCGAGGAAACGGGAGGTAAATTAAACTCGGCGTTTGATCAACTGCGCGCGTGCATGCATGCGTTCTTGCATTGCTCTTGGCTACCTCGCTGCCGATTCACCGTCGACGTGGTGGCGCATACATGATGGAGATGTCGCTGATGGAGGCGATGGTGAGCGGCGGCACCGGGGAGTCGATCCTGACGTCGATGAAGTTTGCGGTGCTGCCGATCGCCAAGGTGTTCACATTGTGCTTCATGGGCTTCCTCATGGCCACCAGGTACATCGGCATCCTCGACGCCAACGGCCGCAAGCTTCTCAACGGGGTGAGCAAATTCCACCCAGGCGCGTCTGGTCTTTCAGAGAACGTTCACCTCAAATTATTCTCAATGGACTAGACTTCTATCGATGGCTTCGAAAATCTATATGTAGCACAAAATTATGTATGGGCAAACTACATACGTTATCTGTTTTTCAAGGAGGATAAATAGGCCCTACGTACTTGGCCAATCACAATAATATACTATTACACATAGATGACACCTTATATATATATATTTTGAAACAAGGCAAAAGATTTGCCATTTTCATTAATTAAGAAAAAAATTAGACATAGTTCCGCCAAGCGGGAGAGTATAGATCACTCTTGCGGCATAATATTACACAAATACTTCGCACCCGCACGAGCCCAAATAGAGGCCTCATCTTTAATCTTGGCAATGACAACGGTAGTAGGGGCGGCGGTGTTGCAGAAAACCCTCGCGTTGCGTTCGTTCAAATTTCCCACGCAACAAGCATCATCAAAGTGCTACGAACCATGCGTGAGTGGCCCCTTTTGTGAGCAACCATGTCCCAACAAACTTCCACCGAGGGCACGAGTCTCCAATCTGACGGATCAATGGCGTGGAGGCCAAGCCAAGTCTTGATCTCCGTCCACACTCTCACTGTGAACCGACACTGGAAGAGGAGGTGAGCCGCGGTCTCCTGAACCTGCTTGCAAAGAGGGCAAAGGTTGCAATTCGGCCATCCCCGACGCTGCAATCTATCGGCAGTCCACACTCTAT